TAAGACCTCCCAAAAAATAAGGCCGCCCAAAGCTACTGTAACTCTGGACTCTGGACCATAACGGTGGGCACCACCGCACAGCTCACTGCTGCCCGCAGCACAGCCAGAGGAGACAGGAAGTCCGAGGTCGCTTTTAATAAAACAAAAAATGTGTACCATATTTTCTTCATGGAAAAATAAGATATCCCCTGAAAATAAGACCTAGCGCATCTTTGGGAGCAAAAATTATAAGACACTGTTTTATTTTGGGGGAAACAGGGTAGCACAATTGGACGGCTTGACTTGATAGATATTTTCAGAGCTTTCCACCAAAATTAAGAAAAAATCACATTCTTTTCAAACCCGCAAGGCACATATTCAAAGATAGACCACATGCTGGGACATAGGTCAAACTTGAGTAAATTCAAGCACATAGAGATTAGACAGATATATGTCTCCGATCACTGTGCCATAAGACTGGAAATCAAAGAAAACAAGGGCAAACCATTGGAGGATGAATAATTCTCTATTTCAAAAGGAGCTGGTGGTATTGACCCAGAGCAGAGATGAAATCAGGAAATTTCTAGAAACCAATGAGAATTAAAATACAACATACCCAAACCTGTGGGATACAGCAAAGGCATTTATCAGAGGAAGAATGATAGCAATAAATGCACACATTAAAAAAGATGAGACTCGTGGTTGATATGCTAGCACAAACTCACACCAATTAGAGCAGAATCAACAGAAAAACCCCACTAATAGCAAAAGGATATAAATAATAAAAATCAGAGCTGAGATACAGGAGAGGGAAAATAAGAAAACTATGGAAAAAATTAATGAAGCTAAAAGTTGGTTCTTTGGAAGGATTAACAGTGTTGATAGAGTGCTGGCAAACCTAACCTAAGAAAGGTAGGAACAAATGTCAATTGCAAGGATGAAAGATGAAGCAGGGGAAATTACAACGGATCCTAATGAAATCAAAAGAATAATTACATAGTACTATGAAGGCTTGTACTCTAACAAATTCAACAACTTGGAAGACATGGACAAATACCTGGAAACACAATCCCTCCCCACACTATCCCAGATGGATGTCAAGAATCTCAACCAACCCATAGAAATGGAAGAAATAGACAAGGTTATTAAGGGATTACCAACAAAAAAAATCCCCCAGGCCAGATGGCTTCACAGGAGAATTCTACCAAGCATTCAGGCAAGAACTGACACCAATCCTACATACACTCTTCCATAACATAGAAAAAGATGGAAAACTCCCAAACTCTTTCTATGAAGCTAGTATAACTCTGATAACTAAAGCAGGGAAGGATCCCATAAGAATTGAGAACTACAGATCAATATCCCTAATGAACATCTATGTAAAAAGCCTTAACAAAACACTGGCCAATACAAAAGCATATAAAAAAAATAATTCACCATGACCAAGTGGGATTCATATAAGTGATGCAGGAAGGATTCAACATACAAAAGAACATTAGTATTTTAAGCCACATTGGCAGGAAAAATGATAAGAACCACATGATAATATCGATAGATGCGGAAAAAGCATTCGACGATATCCAACACCCATTCCTGTTTAAGACACTCTAGAAGATAGGAATAGAAGGAAAATTCCTCAATATTACACAAACTATATATGAAAAACCAACAGCCAACGTGGTAGTAAATGGAGAAAAGATGAAAATAATTCCAGTGAAAATGGGGACCAGACCAGGATGCCTCTTTTCCCTACTCCTATTTAACATCGTACTGGAAGTACTAGCTAAAAACAAAACACAAAGAAAAGACATCAAAGGTATTCATCCGGGGAAGTAAGAGGCAAAATTATCATTATTCGCAGACGATATGATTCTATACATCGAAAATCCCCTAAATTCTACAAGTGGAGTGTTGGGAGCAACAGAGGAATATGGCAGAGTGGCAGGATACAAGATCAACAAACAGAAGTCTATCGCTCTGCTATACACATCAGACAAGATCACAGAAGAGGCAAGAAACAAACCATAGCCAGACATCTGTGCTCCAGTGTTCATTGTGGCACAGTTCACAATTGCAAGGAGTTGGAAACAACCCAAATTTCCATCAATAGATGAATGGATTTAAAAAATGGTATATACATACAATGGAATACTACACATCACTAAAGAGCAGTGATGAATGCATGAGGCATATCGCAGCATGGGAAGAACTGGAGGAAATTATGCTAAGTAAAGTAAGCCAAGTGCAAAAGGACAAATACAACATGAGTCTGCTGAGATAAGCAACACAAAAAAAAATGCAAAAGGGGCATAGGGAAAAAGCTACCATATACAAACATACCTCGGGTGAGGTTCAGGTAGTATGGCAGGGGCCAGACAAAAATCCAGGGGTATATATGGTAACCAACTAAAAAGGAGGGGTGGGGAAGAAAAAAAGATAGAAATGTGTAGCTGGGGAACAGGACACTAATCCACCCAAGGGGAGGGTATTGTTCATATCTCCACAGGGAAAGAAGGATCAGACTTCAACCCAGTGTTCCAGGATGTGAATGCAGTGTGCCAGCATGGAGCAGGGAACCAGTGGTCGGGTCTGAGAGCCCAGCCTGAATCCCTCTCTCCCCTGAAGAATTTACTTTAGAGGACGGCACTGAAGCTGCAATTCGGGGAGAGGGACATATCTGATCAGAGAACATGGGAGCAAATGAATGGAGAGGAAGAGAGAGTGGAACGCATCCTGGCCCAGCAAGCCTGGAGGACGATATCCCCACTTAGAACAGCCAATGCACAGAGTAGACCACATGGCTGGTCCCACTATGAGACATGACATCCCTCACTGACCCATGGCCCTACGGGGGACAATGGAGACACAGTGTCGGGACTGGCCCAGTCTAACCCCACCACACCGAGGCAAAACACTAAGGGCGTGCAGTAGGGCAGCTGGGAGAGCAGACCAGGGAGGTCCTGAGGGAGTTCCAAGGATAGACTTTGGGGCCAGGGCATGGCACACCATCGGACTCCACTGGAGGGCACTCCTAGAGGTCAACAAACAGACCTTGAACTATTTATAGGTTTTTCTTTTTTTTATTTTTATTTTATTATCAATTTCTTTATTTTTTGTCATTGGCATTTTTTTGTTATTGTCGTTGTTTTATTTTCTTTTGTCACTTTACTTTGCTATGTCTTGGTTTTTTGTGCATATTATTATCTCTGCAGGTCAATCTAGATGAGATAGGCCAGATGAACAGTCTGGAGGAGAAAACAGTGGTACCAATGGTTCCAGCGGGACATGGGAGAGGGGGAGGTTGTGGAAAGAAGGTGGTGTTGACCAACCAAGGGACAAGGGAACAAGAATTGATCCAAAATCAGTGGCAAGGAGGGTGTGAGAGGCCTGCTAGGAATTGATCAAGGGCAATGTAACCGACAGAAATTAATGAAACCCAAATGAAGGGTAAGCATGAGAGTGGGACAAGATGAAAATATAAGGAAATAGAGGAAAGAAATAAGAGGCAACGGGTATTTATAGAGCTCTAAATTCAGACATATACATATGTAAATATAATTATATATGATGGTGGGGAAATAGATCTACATACATATATTTATAAGTTTAGTATTAAGGCAGCAGATGGACATTGGGTCTCCACTCAAGTACTTCCTCAATGCAAGAACACTTTGTTCTATTAAATTGGCATTCCATGATGCACACCTTCCCGACATGATCACTGAAGACAAATGGGTGCATAAGCAAATGTGGTGAAGAAAGCTGATGGTGCCCGGCTATCAAAAGATATAGCATCTGGGGTCTTACAGGCTTGAAGGTAAACAAACGGCCATCTAGCTCAGAAGCAACAAAGCCCACATGGAAGAAGCACAGCAGCCTGTGTGACCACGAGGTGTCAAAGGGATCAGGTATAAGGCATCAAAGAACAAAAAATCATATCATTGTAAATGAGGGGGAGTGTAGATTGGGGACCCAAAGTCCATCTGTAGTCAACTGGACCTCCCCTTACAGAAGGGTTGCGGGGAGGAGACCAGCCAGTCAGGATGCAGTGTAGAAACAATGAAATATATAACCTTCCTCTAGTTCCTAAATGCCTCCTGCCCACCCCACCCCACTATCATGATCCCAATCTACCTTACAAATCTGGCTAGATCAGAGGATGTACATGAGTAAAGATAGGAACTGGAAACACAGGGAATCCAGGACAGATGATCCCTTCAGGACCAGTGCTGAGAGTGGCAATACCTGAGGGTGGAGGGAAGGTGGGGTAGAAAGGGGGAACTGATTATAAGGATCTACAAATAACCTCCTCCCTGGGGGACGGACAACAGGGAAGTGGGTGAAGGGAGACATCGGACAGTGTAAGATATGACAAAATTATAATTTATACGTTATCAAGGGTTCATGAGGGAGTAGAGAGCAGAGAGGGAGGGGAAAAATGAGGAGCTGATACCAAGGGCTTAAGTAGAAAGGAAATGTTTTGAGAATGATGAGGGCAACAAATGTACAAATGTGCTGGACATACAATGGATGGATGTGTGGATTATGTAAGAGTTGTATGAACCCCCAATAAAATGATTTTTAAACTGATGGAATCAGAGCCCTGGAGCTGGAGGAGCCACATGGAGACCCATGCCAGCACTGAGATGCTTCCACCACCCCTGGATCCACAAAACTTTGCACCCACTGCCCTGTGATCTTCCTGCATTCAGCGTCATTGCATGTGTTGAGTGAGTCTGGAGAGGAATTGATAGACTGTTATCGGACATGTAGGCTAGTATCAAACTTATGGACTTGATCTGGATTGGGCTGTATAGTTTTCTCAATATACAATTGCTCTTTCATATAAAGTTCTTTCTTATACACATACGAGCGTCTATGAATTTGTTTCTCGAGTCATCCCAGACTAACACAGGTTAGCAGCCAAAAACACTAACCCTTTGAACCCCTCAAGGAGTCCGTTTTCTAAGGAACAAAAAAAAGAGAAAAAGCAAACTCCCATACACAACTCAGAAGTTTACCTCTCCTAAACCTCCAGCTGTCTGCTTGTTCATCCTGATGATTTGACTGCTGCCTGGAAATCTGAGACATCTGATGCTGTAAGCCCTTTCGATCACCTTCTGCTTTCAGTAGCTGTGTACGAAGTTCTTCTATCTAAATACAAAATGTCAAAAAATGAAACTTTTATCTGGTTTCAAAAAGAAAAAAAAAACTTAACCTACAAATTATTTCCAATCATTTCCCGTGGCGGAAAAAATATTTCTGATGAGCTATTGTACATACAAAGTGAAGCCAAGTCGACCTCTGTGCTAAGCCAAGACCAGTACAATTGCCTCTCACACCACTGCTTAGTAATCCCTTCCAAAAATAATCAACAGCTTTCTTTTCCCTGTCCGATGTGAAAAAATGTGTTGTGTACTCCACCACTATTATCCAAGCCTCTTTCAAGTTCATCCTGTATCTTTTAATGTTTCTATATTCTTTATCTATTTCCTTCCAAACAGGTGAAGAATATAAAAGCATTAAAAGATTTTTAGTCTATCATAGGTTGTCTCCAACTTGTGATGGATTTTCATTACAGTTAACTAAACTTTAGAGGGTCTATGTGTCCTTTTATTTGCACAACTTTCATTAGTAACATATACTCTACACAGTGTTGTACCCGACAGGAGCATTCTCAGATGTGCACTCACATATGTTCCAAGATTTAGATTTATAAAGATACTGATAATAAAAGGCAATGATAATAAAAACCAAAACTAAAAAAGGTAAGTGGCTTATAGTAGAATCAACTTAAAACTGAGTAGAACAAGTAGTCCCTGACTTGTCTTAAGTCAGGGACTATTTGTACTTCAAGAACTGTAGTAAAAGGGTCACGATTAGGCATATTTTTATATTAGAATAGTTCACAAAATAAATGAGCAATACAGGCAGTTGAATAAATAATGAACGCTTTGAGGTAGGGGACTTATCTATTTATTCATCTTTGTACTTCTGGAGATAAGCATATTGTCTACATAGCAGATCCTCCCCGGTGGTTTTTAAAGTTGGCAGTAGTTGAAAGACTCAGCTAAAGTCACAATGACAACCTGAACGCGGAAACTGCCGGCTTCAAAATGTGAAATTAGAGATTATGAGTCAGAATAAAGAGAAAAAGTATCAGAATACAATTGAATACAAACATAAATCATCAAAAAGAGAAGTCTGAACTCTGCCAACATTAATTCCTTGTGGCCACTGGCTACAGAACAAAGCCAATGAACATTTATTTTTAAAGGTTTATAAAACAGGTGCTACAGTGTATTTCCAGCGCCAATTGTCAAAAGGTAATACTTCTTCGGAACATCTACTATGCCTGACACCTGTGCTTACCAAGCATTTTGTGTAGGCTGAGTTATGTAACGTGTACCTCAAAACAAAGGAAGGCACATTTGCAATTTATATTAAACACAGGAAGAGAGGGAGTCAGAAACTCACAGTGTAAAAAAGATGGCTATTTAAAGTTATTGAAATTTAAATATCAGAGCGCCAAACCCCCATTACAGACTAATGGGTTACAAAATGTTATACTTAAAAATTAAGCTTATCTTTGATTAAAAGTGGGTAGATGGCACCTTGAAAACATAACTACAAGACAATGATGATTCAAAGTAACTTGAACATGTAAGGGTCTACTTTGTACATTTAATTCCTCCTTCACTCTTCAATGGCTCTTGGAATAAAATTAAATTCTGAGAAAACGTTCTCATACATAACCAGTCTACTTTTACATGATCCATACTACCAAGAGTAAATTGGAGTAGCAATCACCAAACTACACTTTCACAGTGGAACCTGGACCTGTGCCTTAGTACCAGCCTTCGATGAATCTTCCTGAAAAGATTTCCATCTCGTGCTCAGGTGTGTTAATATATACATTCATTAGAGAAAACATTTTTAAGAAACACTTTTCTTTTCCCTTTCTTTAAGAAGTATGCATGCTGGTTTAATGGGAAGGTGGATTTTCATAGCTCCCATAGACTTACTTACCTGGCACATAAGTGTTTCTCTGCTGCCCTCTGATTGATTCAGTAACCCTCGACACAGCTCTAACTCCTGTTCAAGCTGCAGGGTGAAGAAAAACATTTAAATCTCCGATGTGGAAAAATAAGTACATTATTATATGCAAAGTGTAAGAGATAAAAAAGGTGGAATTATTCTCAGCAGTTAGAGCTAACATACAATGATAAGTAGCCAAAAACATACATTAATATTTCTTTAAAATAACACAAATTATATCATATGAGTACAAAATGAACTAGATGAGACATCAGGATCTTGTTTAAGAGCCTTCTCCTCAGGCCTTTGTTATATTTACAATAGTTATTTTGTATTTGAACTCTTCTCCACGGAGACCTGGTGGCATAGGATTAAATATTGGGTTGGTAACTCCAAGGTCAGCAGTTGCAGCTCATAAACCGCTCCAAGGGAGACATATGGGGCGTTCTGCTCCTGTAAGATTTACAGCCTCAGAACCCCACAGAGGCAGTTCTACTTTATCCGATAGGGTCACTATAAGTTGCAATCTACTCGATGGCAGTGTGTTTGGGTTGGGTGGTTGGTTTGTAGGTCCTGCCCAAGGTGCCCTGGTAGTATCAAGGTCAAATGCTTGGCTGTTAACTGAAAGAACAGGGGTGTGAATTCGCGATGGCTATATGGAAGAACGATGTGGCAGCTGCTCCCATAAAAACGATAGCCTTAGAAAACCCTGTGGTACAATTCCACTCTGTCCTCTAAGGGTTCTAGAGATCAGAATTAACTCCATGTTAGGGGTTTTTGGCTAAGGTCTGTTTCATCTCTGAAGCATCTTCATGCACATTCTAACACAATGATTTCTTTAAATTATCACATATACTGTCAAATCAACTGAGAATAAGCATCGCAAAGGTTCTATAACTCAAAGTCCATTTCCTCTAATTGGTGATTGCTTAGATTTAGGATTCATTTTAATGGAAAATGTAACGTGTCAGAATAAGACACCAAAATTTTTCTTAACACTGCAACTAGGTAAGTATCCATGGAAATATAAGTCAGTTAAGTAATTAAATATCCCACAAAGTACACATCTGAACATGCTTAATGTGTTTCAAGCTGTAAAATGTAATCGTGTGGACAATGGACATGAAATCGTTAAAAACCCAGAGCTCACATCTAGTTAAACCACTGGCTTGCTAAGCAGATGGAAAGTCCAAGGACAAAAGACTTAGTGATCTGCTCATAAGAGGATCAGCACCTCGGACCTAGATGTCAGTTCTACTTTCGGGCCGCTGTGGGATGGAACAGACTTGATAGCATAGAACCACAACAAAAGAAAAACAGACCTGAACATGCAAGGTTGTTTTTAAAATCACAAATGTAAACTAACATGTTTTGACTTAGAGGAGTAACCGTAAGCACAATTAATCACCTCCGAGAGAGCAAAGCAAGGGAGATAAAGCAGTAGACTAGATATGGGAACCAATCCTGTCCTTCAAAATAATTTAAAAATTATTGCAGAGTCATAAATATACTTTTACATATAAAATAACCATTATCAGAATAATATCCTTTAAAAACGTTTACTTTTACTTCAGAGCTACGTATACGTAACCGTAGAGCTGCATACGACTAGTGAGCTGCAGTTTGCTAACCAGTGGCCCAGACTGTTGACTGATGGTAGCGTGGCTGACGTGGAAAATGGTGATCCGCAAGAGGGCGATGAGACAGCAAGCAGCAGGGGGAGGATGAACTATTGGGAGTTTGATTAGTAGTTTAAACTGTTGAATACAAAGTTCATGATCGGAAATGTAAACCCCTACCTAGTTTATAATAAAAATGTAAAAAAATAAATTTGAACTACTATCTCTATACATGTCCTTCAAAATTGTACATGTTAAGAAAAGAAAAGAAAAGTGTACATGTTGTGGGTGTGGCTATCAAGGGGTATATGGAAGGTTTTTTACTGCCATGAAGTCAATTTCAACTCATAGCAACCCTACCAGACAAAGTAGAACTGCCCTTGTGGGCTTATATATAAAATATTATGGAACACAGTAGGTAGTGAATTATTTAATATGACTCTTCTAGTCAAAGTCTCTAACACCTATCGATTGACCTTTTCCTGCATGGGTCTGGGTAAGAAAGTAGAGAATGATATTGATAGAAGTCACCTGTGAGTATATTGCATCTTGGACTCATTGGGATGTCATCCTGCTGGGTATAAAATGAGCCTTCTTATAAGCAGGAGAGAGGTCTCACTGCCAGTGAGAGGCACGAGTGGAGCATATCCTCTGGACCATGAGATCCCTGGACAACGAGTCTTCTTGATCCAGAAGACAGCTGTGACATCAGAGTGGGAGCCGCAGAAGAATCAGAAATCAAAGCATGGAACCGAGTGCCACAGGGCAAGTAAAGCCGAGTGTTTACCGACAGGAGGGTGGCTTGTGGCATACTTAATTGGGGAGCTGGGCTTGCTGACCCATGGAGTTGGAGCTCAGTGCCTTCAGGCAGAGGCTTACCAGAGTGGGGTGGCTCTGTGCACTAAATTCAGGGAGATTGGCTTGCAAAGCCATGGAGCTTGAGTGGAACACCTTTGGGGTTGAGGCATACAACAAAGCGGCATGCCCTTGGGCATTTATGAGTAGCCCTGAGAGAACTTTGTAACATATCCTGATGAACAATTGTATCCTGAACTCTTCTGCTTTGCATTGTAACCTGTTCACTTCCTTAATAAGCCCTTTAATCATGAATATTGTCTGTGAATTCTGTGTGGCCATTGCAACCAAAATTGGAACCTAGATGGAAAAGTAGACAAAAGTGTTGTTTGAGACTCATGGGAATAGAAAGCCTCACCTTTATCCTTCAGAGTGGCTGGTGGTTTCGAACTGCCAACCTCTCAGTTAGCAAATTATCAGCCAAATGCTTAACTCACTACCACACCACCAGAGCTCCCATAAGAGGCTAGTCATTATAAAAAAGGATTCTGTATCTTCACGGTGGTGGAGGTAACGTGGATTCACACAAGCAATAAAACTGTTCAGCAGTACAAACACTGTGAAACTGGTTAGATCAGAATGAACGCTAAGGGATTGTACCAAAGTCTTGTAGCTTTTCATAATGCACTACGGCTATGGAAAACATGCCTCCTGGAAGAAAGGGGATAAAGAGGACACTGGATCTCTCCAAACACTGCTTGCTTGCTTTGCTCTTCTGTCTTTTTTCTTATTTTGCTTCATCAAATCTCAAGTACTTCAAAATTAAAAATTGTAAATTTAACCCATAATTTTTAATTACACATTTGGCTTACAAGATAAATGACATATTGAAAAATAAAAGTAAAGTTCATGTGGCATCACAGAATTCACATATACATAAACAAACACACACACACAAACATATTGTCTAACCAATTATCTTATTTTGATGGAGAAATCATACATCAAGATGCCACTGAAATTGACCAAGGTCCATACTGGGCAGGATCCCTATGTAATATCCACAAACTCAACTCCCAAAGGGTAGATACTAAACATAATATAGAAATAAGACCATTAAATCGAATCAAATGTTACATTAACATGCATTAGCTTGGCCTCACCCCTTAGTCCACTCATCTGTCCCTGAATTCCTCTCTCAATCTAAATTTCTAGGCTGTATATGCTCACAGAAAATGACGTAATGTCAAAGGTCATGCATTCTCTAAACTGGGCTGGAAACAACATCTTCTATAAGGGCAATGAACATAGATCCAAAACACCCATGCCTTAAACAGCAGGTCGTTCCTACTCCTGTAGGAAAGTCAAGTTCTTGAGAGGTTTCCCAGATAGGCACTGTGAAGCTGAGCTCCGCTCTAGAAAAGCAGAGCTGCCACAGACAGCAAGCGTGGCAAAGGACCCGTAACTGTGTCCAAGGTCGACCGACAAGAGAGCGGTAGGGCCCCCCGCACTCCACGTCCAAACAGGGACTTCGTTCTGTTCAAGCAAACAATCTCGAAGACACTTTTCAGAGCATTTGACAATTGTCACTGGACCGAACGCATCGCTCTGAAAAGGTAACTTTTAAAATCTTACTTTACTCTTCTCAGTCTCCGTTTGCCTGAGTTTATTTTTCATCACTCCTTCATCTTCCTCTGCTTGATTTTCTTGTTTCTTCAGTGCCTACATGAAAACAAAAGCATTATTCAAAAAGGTGTGTGAACAGTAAAGTCACTAGTAATTTTATTAAGAAAATACTGAGGAACATATGGTTATGAATTAGACAGAAATCTGTAAATGAATTACAGCCTGCTCAATCATTGAATTCCAAAAATGATTTTCATGGGGATCAAATAGAAACAACATCCTGATCTTTGTGATCAATTTCCATCTAGTATCCTTTTTTCCTCATTGGTGGAAATCTCGTTATACACTCAGAGAGCCAAGATAGCCAACAGTTAGTTGTCTTGGAAACAAATAAGCTTATGGCTGAAATAACAGAGTTTAAAAATTACATACCTGTTCACCTATGTAATACAAAAACTAGCTTCATAGAAATTCTGAAAAATATACTCCAGCAGGGTAGAAACGTGATTTCATTATTAACATATAAGATTGTTTACTGTGACATGTAACTGGCTCTTCAAACTATATCTCATATGGAGAAAACAAGGCATCCTATCCCACACTGTCTTCCCTTAAGTGGAAAAATACATTAACTCTAATAGACACAAAATTGTTATTGTTGTTTATTTTAAAAGGTAAACCATATCTCATTTTGTTAGTATTTTCCTTTAATTTTTTTTTTAATAAATCACTTTATTGGGGGCTCTTACACCTTTTATCACAATCCATACAAACATTCATTGTGTCAAGCATGTTTGTACATATGTTGCCATCATCATTTTCAAAACATTTTCTTTCTACTTGAGCTCCTGATAGCAGCTCCTCATTTTCCCCCTCCCCCACCCTCCCTCCGTCATGAACCATTGATAATTTATAAATTTTCCCCCCATGTCTTACACCGACTGCTGTCTCCCTTCATCCACTTTTCTGTTGTCCATCCCCCTAGGATGTATATCCTTGTGATCGGTTTTCCCTCTTTCCCCCCACCTTCTCCTTACACCTGGTATCTCTATTTCCGTTATTGGCCCTGAGGGGTTTATCTATCTTGGATTCCCTGTGTTGCAAGCTCTTATCTGTATCACTAGTGGCACATGCTCTGGTCTAGCCGGATTTGTAGGGTGGAATTGGGGTCATGATAGTGGGAGGGGGAGGAAGCATTAAAGAACTAGAGGAAATTGTATAAAAGTGTTTGTTTTGTTTTCATTTTATTTTTTTAATGTTTTCTAACTTAAGAAAAAAGTACTCAGAGTAGTTTTTCAAAACTTCTCAAAGGCCTTTCTTTTCTTTTCCTTTTTTTTAAATCTAATTTAGCGAAATGTATGTGAAGAGGACAAATTGAGAAAGGCCAAATGCCAGAAGTGCTTTTCCAACAAGATACACATGCTCAATGTAAAAAAGGGGGGGAAACGCTTTTTTAACAAAACAGCAGCACCTGTTGAAAATAGCTAGATGCAAGCATACTCAATCAATTTCATTGACTTAGGAGTTCGTCAAATATCCACTAAGTGCATTTTCTATGTGCCTCGCACTGTGCTAGCCACTACTTCTGTACATAAAATAAACATGACCCTTAATTTATAGGACCACTGTCAGTTCTGCCACAGCATGCAATATTATGGGTCAAAATAAAACACATCTCAGCAAAATGAGAAGTAACTTCAGTTTCAGTCAGTATAATAATATAATACTTTCAGAGAGTTTAATATTAGCACTCTTCTTAAGTACTTAGTATACAGTCATTCCAACTTTTTATAATAGTTTAATCATGAAAGTCCTGAATTATCATTAAATCTACTGTACTGACAGGAAAATTGAGGCATAAACTTGCCTAAGGTCACTCATTTAGTAACAGAAATAGGGTGAAGATCGAGACTCCCTGGTACTGCATCACTCACTGAGCAGTACTGATTCTCCACACTGAAATGAGACAAACACTACACAGTTGTGGTGAACACTGGAGGATACATGCAGAGCCCACAGGACAGTATCCAGCATACAGTAAATGCTCAATAAAAAACAACTATTAAACGTATCAACTACTTCAATCAAGTATCTAAAATCATAATGCCTTTTAAGTAATTATCAAATTTAAAGTTATCAAATATAAATATCAAATTACTTAAAATTATCAAATGGCTTTGATGTGTGATATTTGTTCTATACTGGATGGCAAGTGTAATTGGTACGAATACTCAATTTTATATGTATGGTACTTTTTTACTAAGATTACAAGTGTTTCATAACAAAATTATCCTAGTTATTGCTGCCTTTCTTTTAATGATTCCTCAGTCTTCTCCCACCCAATATGTGCATGAATGTGTATATAGGTGTAAGAAAGATGCTGCTGTGTTTGGTCAATACATTTCTTAAAAATTTTGACTACCTCATTCATCAACATTATTCCAACATAATCCTACATTTTTATGAGTTAAACTACGTCAATTACCTTTTTCTATATTTTTCATTGGATTAAAAATACAGCCTAGGCTTTCCACACAGAAGTGGTTCTAAGGAATACTTCCTCAGGCAGTTGAAAAGTTTCATCAAGCCATATGAACAGCTAGCCTCCACTTCTAAATTCAAACTCTTGAACAGAAGCCCTTCAACACGAGTATACAAAGGATCGTGCCATTTGATGTGATTTGAGCAGTATCCTGAAGAGGGCTGAAGGACTCCACTTCAAATAAGAAGGGTTTGCCCCAAACCCTTCCAAGAGTCCTTCCAAAATTGTTAAGAAGGCTTAAGTACCAAATCTAGTGATCAGGATCACAGCTTTCCAGAGGTGGGAGGAGAGTTCAAAGCCTATCATGGAAGATAATGTAGCCAGGAGTAGCTAAAATAAAATGATCCTTGTCATGTGACTTTGTATGCCTCTGTATGTTCTAGACTCTGACCCCCCCTCCATCTTCACTGTCTGAAGTGAGAAAAGAGGAGTCACATGCTGGGCCTTAAAAACTTAACCTCATGCTGCAACACAAAGAGTTTAACTTATTTCATTATAGCCCAAAATTTCTCCACTTACTAACTGGAATTACTCCACTGCTGCCCCTTTTCTAAGATTTCTAAACATTAAATTTTTAAGATCCTGGAACATTTTACATTGAAAAAAAAATGATCAAGAAAGATATTTTTAACATTTGCCAAGAGTTTGCTTATTATTTTGATTAAACATATTAACAGGTAATGTTTTAAAATCGTGTATATATTTTAGTTTTACTTACTCACGTTTTCAGAATAATCCTTCAAGACTTACTTGATTTAAAATAATCCTCATTTATCAAAGAGCTTACGTTTCCAAAGTGTAACACAAAGCTTTCATGTGACTATAAGTTTCAAAAGGCCCGCAATCTCATTGGTGATGATCATAATTTTCTTTCTAACAGTGTTTGGCACAGAGTAGATTATAAACATAAGTTGAAAGGACAAATAAATCTCCCTTCATAAATTCTGAACAATTTTATTTTCGATGGGCCAACTTTGTTCTCCAGATAGATGGAAACTTTCAAGATTTCCCCCTCTTTCTTGATTGTCATATTTTCTTAACCACCAAGGTGCCTTTCAAATTACTCCAGTGTAGTTGTATTGGAAAATAAATATTTTAGGGCTTACCAAAAAGTTAATGACATTTCCCCTTTTCACAGTTTTGTCTTTCACTGTTTTCATTAGAAAAAAAAACAATGGGTGAGGTATTTTTTTTAATCATTATTTTGAAATTATTTTAGAGTTTAAGAATTTTTAAAGATAGTTCAGAGTTCCCCAATGCACCTCATATTAACATCTTATGTAACTATAATCAGTTTATCAAAACTCAGACATTCATTATTATAAAAAAATCAACTAAATTATGAACCTTATTAGAATATCTCGTTATTTTTCACTAATATGCCTTATTGTTCTTGGATCAAATCCCGAAGCTGTACTACAATTATCCTTACTACAGGTAAGTGTCATTGTAAAATGACACTACAGAGTGTCCTTCGGTGTCTCCTTAGCCTCTGTGGGAAAAGAGAAAGCACAGTGTCCGTGAAAAAGCAGATGACCTTCAGCGACATGGGTCGGCACAGTGCGGGCAGCGATGGGCTCCAACGTAGCAATGATGGGGAGGACGGCACAGGAATAGGCAGTGTTCCTTGTAGTCTCTTAGGTCACTAAGTGTCAGAACTAACTCAAGCACATCTAACAATAACAGCCTCTGTTAATTTGTGAAAGTTTATTTGTCTTTTCTTATTGTTCAGAATGTTGATGTTTTTGAAAAGCATTGGTTAGGTATTTCACTGACTGTCCAATTTGGGTCTGTCTGATGTTGTCTTGTGATTAACCAGGGTTACAAATTTGGGAGATAACCAGGATAGAGTTAAAAGTGTCCTCCTCTTCACATCATGGATACAGGACCTAGGACTAGTAAACCTTGATCACTTATTTAAAGGAAGGTGATACCTGGTCTGGTCTGCCAGGTTTCCCCACCACAGAAAGTGACTAGTATTCTTCCCTTTCCGTAACACACCAAGGCCAGCCCACAGGGGTGGGCTCAGCCTCCCTGAGGGATAGTAGCAAAGAATCTGTGGGGCCATGTTAACATTATCACAATAACTTACATATATAAATATAAATTATTTTATATTAAATATATATATATATTCTTGAGGGAGAGATGCCTGTGTAAAGAACCTTACTGTTTGTCACACCAATTTTTAGTACTCTATATGACCACTGCCGTTGAGTAAGTTCTGACTCAGCACACTCTCTAAAGCAATGTTTCCATAAGTGGGTGAGACTGCACCCCCCCCCCACCCCACCCCCGCCAGGGAGCACTGGACTGATCCTGGGAGGGAGGGGGATGGTGTAAAAGCAGGAGGGGGATGGTGTAAAAGCAGGTGCCTACATTTTATCCTGGATTACCAGTGAAGTGCTAATTACCAGTGGAGTGCTAATCCCTCCCATACACACCGGAAAAAGGAGTAGTAGGCTAAATACCTTTGGAAACCTATGCTCTAAATGGGGCCCAAGACTATAAATCTTTATGGATGCTGGCAGCTTCATCTTTCTCCTACCACGTG